GAATATTATTCAATGAAATTTTAGGTTACATTGAATTTTCGATTTCCTAGAAATGTACTTTTAAATCATTACTTTTTTTGTTTACTACTTGTACTTTTACTTGTACTTTTCACTCGTTACTTTTTGAAAGAAGAGCTTTTTACTCGTTACTTTTTTTAAAAATACTTGTACTTTTACTCGTTACTTTTTAAAAGTAACGTTTCCATATATGGTCACCATCAACAGTCACCACTATAAAGTTGAAAATTTTTTTATACCTTAATAATTAGTAACTAAATTATTTTAAGAATTTAAAATATATATAAAAAAGAGTATTATATTCTTTTAGTGTTTCTTTTAGTACAAAATAAGTAATTGAAATGCAAAGAGTCGTAATCTAACCAACACTTAAAAACAGGCTTATTGAATATATGTTCAAATTATTTAAATATCATGATAATCCAAATCATTTCAATCACCATTTATCTAAGCGAGAATAAAGAGTGAAAATTTAAATTTAGCTTCTATACAATGTATGAAAATAAAATCTTCCGGAAAATAAAGAAAAGTTCAGAATTGGCAGGTATAATGCTAAATCACATAAAAAACAGGATTTACTTGAAATGCGTATAAGTTGACATTAAATTGCTGTTAGCATTACAAATGCAATGGAAACAAAAGATAAATTAACAATAATAGTAAAAAGGGCATGTTAAGCATATATATAGAATATATAGTCTTTCAAAAAATTGGAATGTTGGGGCATCACATTCTTAGATGTCACATACGAAGAAATCAATGCATTAAATGCAACATGCGGTGGTTTAGACTCTTGTGAACTGCCGAGAGATCCCGGTTCTCTTGGACACTGCAGCTGTGACAGGTTCTGCAGTTTGTTGGGAACATGCTGCATAGACTCTAGATATAGAGACATATATCCTGAACCTTTGAAAAGCATCGAATGTTTCTACATCCATTTTAGAAAAATGCACCATAATATACCTATGATAAGAAGTTGTGATCCGGATGTGGAAACTGATGAAGCTACCGAGAAACTTTGCAATAGCGATGGCGAAGAAACAAGTGATCCCTTTTTGGAAATACCCGTTACTGATCCAATAACTGGTATTTCATATAAGAATTACTATTGCTTTGCTTGCAACAAAAACTATGGTGGAGAAGAGCCAATACTATGGAATATAGAACTAGTCACTAAAGCTGTTCGATTAGTAGGCTCCTCAACACGAAACCTGCAATACGACCAATCCAGGCTATTATGGTTTCTGAAGGTTACTAATTCAACATCTGTTCCAAGTCTGAGTTATGATAATACCCGAAAAACTTGGGTTATGGATCACAATCAGAAGAATGCCACCGACGTCTATTTTACTGCATCTCTTCCGGAAGAGTTAAAAAATGTTACACCTGTTTGTTACGATATGGTTGACCCGATTATTTCGGAATGTGCATCGAATTGGACAGATGACAATGTGAAAAAGAAGTGCATGGCTTATATGGCTGTGATTTCCATCCCGGTACATGATCCTAACTTCAAACGCTCTCCTCCTACCTACAAACACTATCATAATCCACATTGCGCCCTTTGCAATTATGAGAGTATGGATGACCTGAGCTGTCACGTAGAGGAATTTAGAATCTATTATGCTCTGGATCATTCCCAAGTTTATTTACTTAGATTATTCTCTCTCCAAGACAGAACAACAAAAACTTGTGCAGACTTTATGGTGTATGATCATTTTTCAAACAAGTGCAGAAGAGTATATAGATCAAAGAGGCGCACTTAAATCATAAATACAGGGTGCTCTCTGACTACAGCATTTAACCATCACTTCCTAAATCAGAAAGTCTCCAAACTGCATTTTATAAGTAGACTACGCAGATTATTTTAAAAGTGAACCAGTTTGAGCGCATGATCCCAAATTCTATTTTAAAATTAATTGATAGCAATTTAACATATATATTTGAGAATTGAGTCTGTAATGTTTTTACAAGTCAATAAGAGATACCAATCATATTCACAAATTTGAAAAAAAAATTTAGTCAAATATTTGCAACCACTTTCTAACTTTTAATAGATTTGCTATTAAAAGGCTGTTTCGTAAACTAGTTTATCTGCATAGTGATCTAATCGGATTACCTACAAAAAACCGCGTGGAGGCTTTCAGATATAGGAGGCGTTGATTTAATACGCAAGGAAACTGAGCCAACGCCTTCTATAATTGAAAGTCTCCACTTTTTATAAGTCCGATCAGACCACTATGAAGATAGACAAGTTTACGAAAGAGCCATTTAATTAAAAATCTAGTAAAAATAAGGAAGTGGTAGCAAATCTAAAAATCTGTTTAATTTTTGAAAATGATAGGTCTGTCTTATTTACTTGTCAACCTCTATAGATTCAATTCTTAAATATATATGATAAATTTCTCTCAATTACTTTTGAAAAAGAATTGGGACTCAAGCGCCCAACTGGTTTACTTTTTAAATAATCTGCGCAGACTATTTATAAAATACCGTGTTGTGACTTTCTGATGTAGGAGGTAATGACTGAGCTCAGCAAATATGAAAGTTTACTGGGGTTACAGTACTTTAAAGTCACGAGGACAACAAAGACCAATAAACTCTTTCCACAATACTAATTTTAGTTTCCAAGGGTCACATTTTCAGTGTGTATAAAGTAGAATTTAAATAAGAAATCCTTTAGAAAAATGAAATTATTTCTGATTTATCGGAGGCGTTAAATACTTATGTTTGATTTTGATCTTCTTTACCTAGACCGGCAAAATTTATTTGAAATTTTAAACATTCTTCAACAAATAAATATATTTTGCTGTATGTTTACCAAATTTTTTTTTTAAATTGCCTTAACGTCCTATACCAGAAAATTCTAAATTTACTATAATAAATTTCATCTGATCATCTTCAACTGTATTCCCCATGTAAAATATTCCTTTTTCTGTTTCAATAAGCGGGTAAGTCAGAAAATTGGCCTCCAAAACCGTAAGATTTTTTTGAGAAGCTTCCATGACCTTCCACAGGCCAACAGGGCGATAGGATTTTGGAACTAGTTCCCCTTTTTCTTAATTTTTTGAAGTTATACTTCTTATGCGACTTCCAACAAGGTTGCGNGATTATAAGAAGACTCGTCGGCGCCCCTAAATGCATTAGCAATAATAGTATAAAAAGGGATCTTAAAATTGATGACATCAACGTCCATATAAAAAATTTAAACAAAAATTTCTACGATGAAGCAAAAACCTGTACCACCAGCAATTTTAACTCACTCTTAGATATTGAATTAATTGACGACAACACTAAATTTAGTCCAATCACTGCCTTTTTCCTTAGGAATATGATGTTGTCCTAGCACACGAAATACACTCTCGATTTTTGGTGCTAAGCACCCCTCTTCCCCCCATCTCCATTCCACCTCACTACTCCTCATCATCGATTAAGTAATACAGATGAATCAGTTAATGCCGCTTCGCGGCAGCGCACCGAGATTTATATGATTTCTACCATCTACCAGATTTTTTTACAAAATAAATATCTACTAGATTTTATTGCTTGATTATCTACTAGATATTATTGTTTAAAAAACAAAGCTGTTTTTCTTTTAATTGACACCTTACTTTGGCGAAATCTATTAGCTTGATTGGATTTCTGGTCATCTAATTTCACCTACTACAAATCAAGTAGGTTAGAGATTCCGCGCAATAAATATAGTTTTCAATATTCATATACCAAAATACTTTTCCAATATCTTTGTTAAATTTGTTCCAAAAAAGTATTTTTCTTTTAAAATTATTCCGATTATAAACTTTAATAAACATTTTTCCCTCATACAAAAAAGTAGCAGACAACAAAATACCTTGAAATAATAAGATGCAAACGATTTGAATGAAATAAAACACGTGATTATGTATTTTTAAATCGCATCTAATGAGACTTTCCGTCAAATTATTTATATTCTTTTTCCTTGAAAACCGGAAGCTATTACTGAGATGAGAATGGCACAGTTAACAAAGATTCAATTTACTCAAATTATTACTATAATCATCGTAATAGTTCTTTAAAAACCTATCTTTGTAGCCTTGAAAGTAAACTATCTATCAATGTAATGTGCTTATAATTAAGAATAAAAAAGATACAATGTCCGGTTTTAGATGTTTCAGATGTGCCAGGTTTACATGTCTTTGACGATAATCGAACCCAGATACCGTCGGAATTCCTGAAACCGAGCTCGTTCACATTGTCTTAAATATTACTGAAATTCACATTGCGCCATTTGTAATTATGAGTATATGGATGACATGGTTTGCTATGGACATGAAGGTTCAAAACAAACCAGGAGACCTCAGAAATTTTTTTCTATGGGTTATTTTCTCTTCATGACAAAACAAGTTAACACTATGACTATGACTATAACTATGACTACATTCTTAATAAAGCGTTTCAATATATATTCTGGTCCATTCAATTACATATCATCATAGATTATTTGAATACATTCTGGATAGTTGGAATAAATTCGAACGCATTTGAATACATTCATCATAAGATCATTTGACTATATTTCGATTTTTTCTTGTCATTATTCTTATATATCTTTTATTTGTTGGGGATGAAAAAATAAACAAGGTGCTATTTCGATTATTTAGTGAGAGGTGGATGTTTGAAAACAATATAACAAAAAATTTGAAATATACTCAAAAGAAACTTAAATTTTGAACAAATCTTGCAAATTTCAAGAAAAGACAAATCTGTAGGTTTCTTTTTGTTTACAATGTTAAATGAGGACAGAAGATATTTTTTTCTACACATTTTCCAAATAAGCTCACTAGCCATTATTTTAAACATATTTAATATCTCATTTTCATTAAAATTTAAATATTTATCTTCATTATGAATGGTAGATAAACTAATTTGAAAGAATACATTTTTTATTGGATTTTTGTGTGCACTCTAGGCCCTAGTTATGTGTCTTGAGTGATCATAAACATATCTTGAAACTTATTTAACACGTTGAGGGCAGCGTCAGCCATCAGTGGCTGACACTGGACTTTCCATTTAGATCGGTGCCTGACACTGGAATTGCATTTAGACTGCGTCTACCACCAGTGGCTGACACTGAAATTACATTTAGAGTGCGTCAACCACCGGTGGCTGACACTGAAATTACATTTAGACTGCGTCAACCACCGGTGGCTGACACTGACCTTTCACATAGGCCGCGAAAAACAGCTGGCTGACAGTGTATAACATGATATAAAACTATAAAATTTACACTCTCTTATGGAAATGCAGAAAATTTATTTAAAATTTACTTAATTATTGTGATTCTTGGTTTAATAAATTCAATTTAGTATATTTTTAAACACCACTATTTTTAAACAATTCGTAGCCATATATAATTCACCACTTTTATCAGTTATGTCATTGGACTTGAGTCCTCTGGTGATCTGATCCGAGAGCTTGATGGATGTAGGACTGATCATCGCCGAAAGGACGCTCAGAGGATTACGAAAAGGGATTACGACGGTCAAGCTTTGGATTGACGTCCTACTGACATAGAGATCCTTGACGATTCCGGTCAGCCCATTTGATGTTCCTGACGAGGAAAAAATTTTGATGTTTTGAGTTATTGATGTTTAATCCTTTTGGTGAGTAGTTCTTAATAATTCTCTCGAAATTATGTCTGGACGTGGCAAAGTTTGAAGCTCGTAGTTTAANAATTTATCATATATCATGTTATATTTGTTTTACAACTTAAAATTACACAATTCTAACTTTATTCAATGCTAAATTGTCAATCGCATTTGCATATATTCTAATTTTACTCATAATTTATCACAACTTATGAATGCATCAAATTTAAATTCCATTCAATGCTAAAATATCAATTGTAATTGTTTACACATTAATTTAATTCATATTTTAATCACAACCTATGATTGCATCAAATTTAATACCAATCAATGCTTAAATATCAATTGTGCTTTTTATATTCACGAAAATTTCTGATTATTGCATAAATCATGACTTATATTAAATATCAAATCATGTTTAATTTTTCAAGCAAATATGCTTGATCTTCTGTAATGCTACCTAAATGCTGCATAATTCAAAATGTTTTTTAATTCAACTTGTAAATACTTCATGATGAATGGGTTAGGGGCCGCTGCGCGGCCCAGGTACCCAGTTTTAGTTAAATAAAGAGAAAGAGACAGTTATGTCATTATTTAAATCATGTCTGAATATAATTATCATATTTCTTGTAATACAAAATGTTTTTAATTTATCACGCAACTTTTTGAAAAAGCTAACGTGATGTTGCTTAGATCAAAATGTTTTTAAATCAATGTATATAGTTATTTCATGATGTATGGGATAGGGGCAGCTGCGCGGCCTAGGTGCCCATTTTTTGATTAATAAAAGTAAAGTAAAAAGTAAAAGCAGTTATGTCATGCTAAACCTTTCATAAACCAGCAAAATCTGTCTATATTTGCAAATTTAGTTTGTAATTATTTACCGTGTGGCCTGACGGGCAAGCCATGTAAAGTTAGCGTGGTATTACGCATGTAAATATATAGAATGTTTTAGAAAAAGCTTGTTAACTCAAAAATACAATTTTGAGTAAATAATCTTAAAAATATTTATAGTAATTATTGTCTAAGACCAAAAGCAGCTAGAGCTAGGTGATGTTTCGATTTTTCATTCTATATTGATATTTCTTTAGATAATCACGATAACGATATTAAATTACATTCTCATGATACATTGTGAA